TTTGACATTTTCTTATAGGTGATGGCATGAATGCTTACATGGCATATAGATAACAACAAAGGTGAGCCTTTTGCTCCTTTAAAAAATATTGAGCATTTACTATGTCTGGTATGAGGATATGACAATGATTAGGTGGAAGTAATTCTTTCTTCATAAAGGTTACATCTATTAAAGATTGCAGGTGGTAGTTAAAATGAGTTGTGAGTGGTTGATACTTAAAAGTAGCGTGTTCTGTGAGAATGTTCAGGAAGGGACCTAATCTAAACCTGAGAGGTCAGGAAAGGCTTCCTGAGAAAAGTAGTATCTAAGCCATGACAAAGGAGAGTGAAGTGATGGGGGAGATGAGAAGGAGGAGAAGAATGCCTGTCTAGGCAAAGGGATTTACTTGTGCAAAAGACAAGAGTCAAGGAAGCATTGTGTTTCTAGATGGGTGTAAGAACTGATGCATGATTGAATTGCTTGGCAGTAAGGTTCTGTGAATTATGAACAGCCACATTAAGGAGTTTGAGCTTTATCCTAAGTATGATGGAGAGCCATTAAAGAGATTCAAATAAGATGTAACACGATTAGATTCTTATTTTAGAAAGATCTCTTGGCTTCAATATGAATAGGGAGATAAAAGAGCTCAGGATTTCCAGTTAAGAGGCCATGAAGGCTGGGCACAGTGGCTCATGCCTGTAATCCAGCATTTCGGGGAGGCAGAGACAGGAGGATCACTTGAGTCTGAGTCTAAAACCAGCCTGAGCTATGTAGCAAGACCCTGTCTCTACGAAAAATACAAAATTAGCCAGCGTGGTGGCACATGCCTGTAATCCTAGCTACTTGGGAATTTGAGGTTGCAGTGAGCTATGATGACACCACTGTACTTCAGGCAACAGAACGAGGAAAAAATAGAAAAAGGCACTGCAATTATTAAAAGTTGTAGGCTTCAGACTTTAAAGAGAGAGAAAATCTATTGCAGCAATCCTAGCTGTGAGAATAATACTTTACATAAAGAAGGTTCTGGAGATGAACAAAATAAATGGCTTCTTGAGTTATGTAGGAGATAGAATCAACAGACTTGGTTGTAACGGGTGAGGAAGGAGAAGATCTTAAGTTACTGACTAAAGGAACTTAGTAGTTGAGGAAGTGTTACAATGGAGAAAGGCAACATGGGAGGAACACAGTGAGGATGGGGTGGGATTTGTTAATTCATTGGACAAATATTTTATTAAATACCTATGTGGGTCAGGCTCTGTTGCAAGCACTGAGATATAGTAGTAAACAATCAGACAAGTTATGTTCCAGCAGGGAAAATATGATGAATTTGAAGAGCCAAGAGATTAAGTGGGGTGTTTTTTGGGCATTTGGATATATTGGACTGAAGCTCAAAAGGAGATCTAGGCAGAAGTAAAGATTAAAAATTATTAG